AAACGCAAGGCGAACAAGAAACTGGATTCTTGTATATAAAACTTAAAGAAAATATAGGCAAAAAAAAATAAAACAATATTGCATTTTCATTAAATAAGTATTTGTTATATTAATGATTAAATTAGTTTTAAAATAGTGGGATTAATTTGTATGTTAAATAATAAAACTTTTAATTTATTCAAAATAATTAATTAAAATTTATTGTACAAAGCTATGCAGCGTAGTAAAACCAACTGTACTCTATAACCACTTACCTATTTGCAATTCTCCGCAAAATTTGGCTTCGATTAGTCAATGTACGATTATTTTAGAGTGTATGGCGGACGGACGGAAATCACAGAATTTTATATATAGATAGATAAGACGAGGCATTCATCGATGGTTTTCTTTAATTTAAAATAAGTGTCAATGACCAAGATTTCTTCATTACGAATATCTGTAATCGCTAAGAATTATATTATTATGAACATTTAATACGTTTCATTTGTTAAAAACTAAGTACACATGGGAATGAATAATTCTATTTTATATTTAATCCTAACATTTCTTTCATTTTTTTTTGAAAAAAGTGCGTAATTTTCGAAATTGTAGGAAAATCTGTTCGAGTTGTAACGTATTTGTTTTGTTTATCTTTCAGTATAGTCGATAGTATATTTTCCATCATATATATATATATATATATATATATATATATATATATATATATATATATATATATATATTAAGACATATTTCATTAATAATTTAGACATGTTCTGTCTACTCATTCTCGATAGGATCCTTTCATATTCACGGATAATCTTTTTTGTACGGTTGTTAAAAGACGAGAGGAAAACACCGTGTTGGCTCATATTGCATTTATTCCGAGTACTTTCGACATACCATAATGTCATCATCAGGGTATTGTTAAATATAGAGTAAGTATTTAGTGTTCATGATTGTGAAGGACAAAAATTGTTGTGGTCATCCGAAAATTAGCATTTTCATATGTCAAGTCAAGAATGCTGTGTTACGGCTTGGGTGAAGGACGTTTAAGGGGAGCTAACTATGTATGCTGTGGAACCATGAACACTGTCTTAATGTAAATATGCTGCCGAAATATACGCATATATATATATATATATATATATATATATATATATATATATATATATATATATACATATGTATGTATGTATAGTAAATGTAATAAATCCGTTGGTAAATAATCCAAGTGGATCCTAGTAATAAAAATATTAAAAGTGGTCCACAAAAAGAGCTCAGGGCAAAGCAAATAAATAGTAGTAAACAATAAAAATAAATAAATAGTTGTAAACCATAAAATCCAAAATTACCTCATATGGTGTATAGACCTATTTCAACCGACGAAAATTTTTTCAGTCTTATTCAACCCCAGTATATAGACTGTGTTCGTGTCGAAAAATTAATACATAATTTATCTATTTCAATGTTTCAGTTAGACGAAAGGCCCGAGACAGTGATCAGGGGAGGGTGGCAGGTACCATCCTTAAAGGGAAGAGATTTTATAAAATTAAGCCTGGATATTAACCTTATGACATTAAACTGGGTTTATATGAAGGATGAAATAATTATTTGAAACTAAGAGGAACAAAAAGTGTGTTTTTTAATAATATAGATAAGGTTAAGTTTAAAAGTACAAGTTCCTACTTAAAAATACTCTTCCAAAGATAAATTATACTTAAAAATAAAATATATTTAATAAATTGAAAATAAGTTATATTTAGATAATTTATATTAAAATTAAGTAAGATTATATTTAAAAATTTATAATTAATAAAAAAAATTGACAGAAATAGTACACGTATGAACGCTTGGATTATTTGTGCCATAATTACCAGTGGTTACCTCCCTTGTTAACATTGACAGAAATCAATCACGTATCGTTGAAAATTAAGCACGCATGTAAAACTGGTTAGCGACGAAAGCGTATCAATCATTCTAACTTTGGCGTAGTAAAAGATATTTTTTTGGTTCGAAAAATGAAAATCGATACGACTAATTTCAAGGCCGGCATTCCTCTACAAGTATTTCGTCATCAAGAGCGATCGGTTTAGGCTCATGAAACATTAAACCAGTGAAAAAAAGAAAAAAGAAAAACAAAATAACTAAGGCTGAACAACTACAACAAAAACTCGTTAATTTTTAAGCATCAAGAAACAATCTGTTTTGTTTCGCAGGTTATTTTTAAAAAGAAGGAAAGAAATGAAAGCTCCGTAACAAATAAATTTCTCCATTAAGTACACTGCCGATTAAAATTATCAGTATCTCATCTTCCATACAAAAATACTTCCATGTATTGTGTTAAAAAACATTCAATGAATTTCAGGCCGTGATACACATTTCGGCCAAAGAAATCGGATCATTACTCTTTGTTCTTCCTTTATGCACACTCTTAGTGGAGCGGCTATGTTTACATTGCAACAGCAGCAAGAAAACTGGCTCGATCAAGTGAACACAATTGTATCACCTATAAGCCTGCATGAACAGAAGTTAGTGTGACAGAATTAAAGATATCTGAAGACTAAAGTGCGTATAATATTTAACTTACTCTCGTACATATGTGTTATGGTGAGTAAATGGTCTAAAGGGTCCACTGATGGATGAAACTGCTAGTCTCCATGATATGCTGATTCCTATGGCCACACTATGTCGATAAAAGCTATATTTCAAATATTAAGCGCACTTCCCGTGTAAATATAGCAAATTTTAAACGCGCAGTCTTCATACCATGTCTGTAATCACCACTGTTTCCTTTAAAAATCGCGTGATACTGACAGTCACCATGCCGTGTTGATGCTTATGTCCACAACGTCTATATAAAGGGTGGTCAAACTTGTTTAATGTAAGAGTTACATAAGATAAAGTTCGGATGTTTGAGATCCGGAAGACATGTACAAAATTTACACATACGTTTTTGTTAAATACACATTAACATAAAACTTCAATAAATGGTTATAAAAATTTTTTTTTTTTTAATTATTTTTTATATGAATTGTGATGAAAAAAAAGGAGCTCAACCAACATATTTCCGCTGAGCCGAGATCAACGAGCAGCGGTTTGACCCCCACCCCCGGTCTACGTTTATTGATGTAGCTATTTATCTATGTATCTATCGAGTGATATATTCACTTTACAAATTCAGTCTATGGCAAAAGTGATCTTTGCCAAAGAAATTGCTAAAGAAGGAGATTTCAATTTTCAATTTTAAGAAAGGAAATTAAGATATAAAATATTAGAAATGCCAAGATTTATTTTACGACGGGGCTACAATCCATTACTTCAACGTGCCACCAACAATGATGAAGCGAAACGTCAAACAGCTGGAGCGGGTAGAATGGAGATCAACGTGTTCTAGTGGACTCGGCAGTTTCCAATCTGTTTCTCTGGATCGTCTTCAAGAAGCAAGAGCAAGATCTAAAAGGTCAGCCAATCTAACAGTGATCTCGTCCCACAATCCTTGCTCTTACACCATATGCGGCCTCCTTTGTAAGTCTCTAGCGGGTCTTAAGTGCCACCTAAGGTTATCGTACAAAATTTCATAACTGAATCAATAAATTTGGCAGATCATCATACGTCGAAACCGAAGGGAGTTCATTATATATATATATATATATATATATATATATATATATATATATTAATGCATGTTTCATTGAGTAATATAGACAAGTTTTGTCTATTTATTTTAAGCAAATTCCTTTCATATCGCCAGATAAGCTTAATAACATTATCATTGAAAGACGAAAGAAAATCACCATACTGATACATTTTTTTTTAATCCCATCTAAGCTTTCAACTTATATAAGCCATCATCAGAAATGACAAGTACATTACAATAAATTAAACAATACACGGATATAGAAACAATGATAGTCTGTTTTGTTTGCATGGAAGATTTTCAAGCAACGAGAAACACGTGCATACTCGTGCATATATCTATCTATCTATCTATCTATCTATCTATCACTCTCTCTCTCTCTCTCTATATATATATATATATATATATATATATATATATATATGTGTGTGTATGTGTGTGTGTGTGTGTGTATATAATGTATATAAAATTTAGGTTCCTAATTAAAAAAATAACAAATTATACTTAGAAATAAGATATATTTAAAAATCAAAAATAAGTCATATTTAGATAATATATAAGTAAGAATGTATTTAAGCTCAAGTAAGAATGTATTTTAAAAAAGTTATATTAGAGAATAAAAATATATTTAAATTAAAAGTATAATAAAATAAATTTTACATTTTTAAATTTAAAGATAAATTAAATCAAGTTATATTGATAAGAAAAAATAAGGCATACAAAGTTATATTTATATGATTTATATTCATATATATATATATATATATATATATATATATATATATATATAGATAGATAGATAGATAGATATAAATATGTGTGTGTGTGTCTGTATTTATACATGTATGTATATAAAGGGTTTTCCAATAATTTGGACCGATTTTAAATGTGAATGAAGTTTAAGCGTCTAATGATTTTTTTCTTTTTCTTTCAGATTTGGCGGACATTTGGTCCATATTATTTTTCCCAAATAATTGCCATGACTTAAATAACATGATCCAATAGAGAAATAAATAAATTTTGAACAATAACACTGATTTATTTACTGCTGACTTTGATCCGTCTTAATGAAACACCTTTATATATAATCCATATTAATGAAATACCCTTTATATATATATATATATATATATATATATATATATATATATATATATATATATGTGTGTGTGTGTGTATATATGTGCATAGTTAGACAGACAGTGTGCCGCCAAGAAGGGAGTAAAATAAACTTTACTTTCTAACGTTTCAGTTAGCCGATATTAGTTTATCAAATCTGGAAAATAATTTGTAGCCTCAAACCTGTTACTTCTGTGTAACATCTCTAATAATAATAACAACGATCGTAATAAAGATAATTTTTGCAGAGCAAAGTACTTACTCTCCATTTGAGACCCATACCTGTGAAACTCCTCCTTCGGCGCTGCAGGGTTCACGGCGTCAAGTCTCGATTGAGGCCTAATAACTGCAAAAGAAGCACTTTGTACGGCGAGGCATGCATATGGTTTAAAGAAAAAAAAGTAAAAGAAAAGATAACAGTTTTGAAAACCTCTGGGATACTGAATGTCCGATTGGAAAAAAGCAACTGAAAGGAAACGTTATGTTTTTATTAGATATTAAGCACTGGCGATTTTACAGAGGTCAAAAGATTAGAAATATATGTGGTTTCATTTTTCTTACTAGTTTAGGATTGGTCTATTCAAGAGACGGCGGAAGTTAGCAGACGGGGGACTCCACAGGGAAATGCGCAAAGAAAGGTAAAGAAAGGCGAAACAAAATCATAATATAAACAGTTGTATTCACCAGGGTAGCTATAATTAGGTGAAAAAAATTGCAGTGGGTGAGTAATAGCACTTGCGGAAAAAGCGTTAGGGTCACTGTACGATATTAACCACAAACGGTAGATCCTCATTATCTTGTATAAAGAAATGAAAGACATAAACTTGATACGAAGTTTATAATCGTTTAAAGAGACATTTTCTTATTAACGGCTTCTACTCATCGAGAGTTTGGCGCTAGGAAATCTTTCCATAAAAATTCCTATTTTGTAATGCTTTTTTCCATAGACGGGTTCCTTTGAGTTCAGGCTACTACAAGAGGATATTAGAAAGTTCTTTTGTCGATTCACTTCGCAAAATCTGACGTTGTGACCAAACATTTGATTCTAGTGAGAAAGGAATTATTGAAATGCCTGGAGGCTTTTCAGCAATACTCCCCAATGTCAGAAAATGTATGATAAATTTTTTTCCCGTTTTTCATAGTTTAGTTTTGATACATATTAAAACTACTTCTCGAATGATTTTCAGTTGTTTTCTATAAGATGTTTATCTCCATTCGTTGTAAGAGTGCTAATAGTATGCTGTAACTCAGTACTACCTCCCACATAGTCGGATAATATACGCTATAAAATAGGCTAAGGACGATGGCTAGACACCTGTCAAAAGGTGGTTGAACCTTTTTTTAGGGTTAAATGCCATCTAGTTCAATGGGACATAGTTATGTCTGCAGCCAATGCGACGATGACACAACATTGGTCGCAGAAGCTTTCATAGACTGAAGTCAATGACCTGGACGAAAGGTTTTTCCCTTTGGCATCAACGGTCACATGTCCGTGACCAAAGTGAGCCGCCAAGTTGAAGGGCATCAGCTGTAGTTTGACCGGGATAATATTGAACACCAGGGGGTCTACTTGTCGAAAGCAGGCTATGCATGAATAAATACCTATCCAGCTTTCAAACCAGATATGTGTAGGGAACTGGTCAATCACCGTAACCCTACGACCACACCAGGTCATGAGATTGATGATGATGATGATGATGATGATGATGATGATGCTTTTAGATGGTAGTATTTAAGCGATGTAATTAAATAGATTTATGTTCTGAAAATAAAACGTACACAAGCACAAATTTCCACACGTATAATAAAATTTAGATAAACATAAGTAAAACCAGAATTTTGTTTAAAACCCAGCGAGGAAACGAAGGAAACGAATGTCACACCATTTTTTTTTAAGTGTTTTAAAATAAATTTTGTAAAATTATTTTTTTTTCGTCTTCTGCAATAAAGATTTTGAGTGATATAAATGATAATTAATTCATTTAAATATTATAGACGATAATAATAAAATGAACAAGTCTTAAAAGACAATTTTATATCAACAAAAGGTGAAGGCGAATTTTATAAGGCTTAACGTTCAGTGGGTATTTTACAATCTGAAGATTGCGTATTTGCATGAAATTCTGAGTTCTGCTAACGACGTAGGATATTATGCATATATATATATATATATATATATATATATATATATATATATATATATATATATATATATATATATAGTGGTAAAAGAAAATTCAAAATTACTTCGTATGAGCTGGGTGGATAGATCTATTTCAACAGACGACAAATACATCAGTCTTATTCAACCCCAGTGTACAGACTGAGTTTGTGTCGGAATTAGAAATTTACCTTTGACAGCTGTCGAAAAATTGATACAGAATTTATCCATTTCAATGTTTCAGTCAGACGAAATGTCCGAGACAGTGGTTAGGGGAGAGTAGTAGGTATTAGTTTTAAAGGTAAGAAATTAAACTCGGATATTAACCTTATGAGATTAAATAGGGGTTATTTGAGATGGTAGCATTTAAGTCATGTAATTAAATAGCTTTATATTCTAAAAATAAAACGTACACAAGCACAAATTTCCACTCGTATAATAAATTTTAGATAAACATAAGTAACACCAGAATTTTGTTTAAAACCAGGCGAGGAAACGAATGATATGAATGTCACGCCCACGTACTGCTATAATTACTTGATTACCCAATCACACATATATAAGTACGCAGGTTTTCCGTGCATAGGAAGAGCGTTTTATTAGTAATAAATTACAATGGATATACTAGCTAGATTCTGGCCAGCAAATATGGAGGCAGATGATGAGAATAGATCAATCGATAGATATGAGACACATTTTAACGCTTTGTGTCTTCGGGTTAGAACAGATATTTCGTGGAAGAAACTAAATGTAACATAACTGCCCAATGATTAAAGAGAAGCAACAATTTGTTTCAAAACGACAACTATATTGCACACACCAAATCAGCGCGGATATCTTCATATGGTTATTATTAGACAGTCGACATAAAATCTACTGTCTGATCCGTGTATTTGTCATTGACTAGTAATTTAAAAAGACACCCACGACATTAGATATTAATCTAACAACTGGACTTAATAAATAGACAAACCGATATGAACAGAGTTACCATTTTCTATTTATGTAAATACAGTTCGAATGAATTCATAATTGTGTCGTTCTCGGGGAGTGCTTTCTTCCTGGCGTACTTAATAACCTTGCACCCGAAGATAGTGATGTATTTCATGAAATAACTCTTCGAAAAATTAAAAAAAAATAGTTAATTAATTAATTTCGATATATCTGTTGCAGATCGGCAAGATGTTAAACTATTTTATTTCATTCTGTTTTTGGAAGATAACATTTACAGCAACCAGCTTCCCAAATCGCCATCAACTTATGAAATTATTAGCCATTTCCTTATAAGGAAACATTTGGCATTCATTGATCGAGCAGCTAGTGCCACTGTCAATTTAAATTTATAAAATCTTTCTCTTAAAAGAACTTTTCAAAAAATAAGTTTTCTATTTACATTATTCGGACTATTGTCCTCATCTTTGTCGACATATTTGTTACAAAGTTTCGGTAATATAGACAGATACCAAAATAAGTTTTCTAACTCGATATGTTTTCAAATAATTTTTTTTTAATATTTGATCATATTTGTGTCTAATTGTATTATTTCTGTATATTATTTTGTGCATATATTCTATTTTATTATTTGTATATGCTTATACTTTTATTGTTTGTGGGTTTTTTAATATATTGAATATTTATGCATATGTGTATATATTTTATTATTTTATTATTTGTGTATATTCTTTTGTCTCTACATCTATATATGTTTTCAATTAATATTTTGGATACACTTTTATTATTTGTATGTATAATGGTGCCTTTGTAAGTGTATATGTGTTTTAAATTTATGTAGTTATGTTTTTTTTTATTTGTATTATTTGTTTTATATGTTTATTGTTTTATATATTTGGTCACCTTTTTATTATTTTTGTGTATTTATTTATATATTTAATTATTTTTGTAAATATATTTGTGTTTCTCTGTTTTAAATTTGTATTTTGTTTTTATTTGTGCATTTGCAAGTATTTTTGTTTATTTGAATATATTTTTTAACATTTTTGCATATTTATACTTTTAATTGCGTATATTTAAATGTGTATTATGTGTATATTTTTTTATATTTGTTTATTTGGGTATATGTTTCTATGAATGATTTGAATCAATCATTTTGATGATTTTATATTGTCTATATTTGTTTAGATTTTTCACTTATATATTTTCTTTTATATTTTTGTGTATCTGTTATGAATTAATCTTTATATGTTTGTTTTCTGAATATTTCTTTATATTTTTTGTTTATATTTTTTGATATTTGTTGAATTTTATTTTATTTTTGTGGATATGTTTTGAATTAATTATTTATTTTATATGTTTTATATTTTTAATATTTTATTCTTTGTATGTCTATTTTTTATAATTTATATTTTTTATATTTGTTGATATTTTTAATTTTCAGTGGATATGTTTTGAGTTAATCTTTAATTATATATATTTTATGTATATTTTTATATTACTTATTACAGTATAATATTTTATTCTTCTGCGGATATGTCTAGAATTAATCTTTATATGTTTATATTTTTTGTATATTTGTTGATATTTTTTAATTGATTATAATATTTTATTTTTCAGTGGATATGTTTTGAGTTAATCTTTAATTATATATATTTTATGTATATTTTTATATTACTTATTACAGTATAATATTTTATTCTTCTGCGGATATGTCTAGAATTAATCTTTATATGTTTATATTTTTTTGTATATTTGTTGATATTTTTTAATTGATTATAATATTTTATTTTTCAGTGGATATGTTTTGAGTTAATCTTTAATATATATTTTATGTATATTTTTATATTTTTATTACAGTATATTTTTATATTTCTGCGGATATGTACAGAATTAATAATATATTTTTTTATTTGTTGATATTTTTAATTGATTATGTCTTTTAGATATGTTTTGAAATCTTTATATATTTTTATATTTTTTATATTATTTGTTGATAATTTTTAATTTCTGCGGATATGTCTAGAATTATTTTATTTTTTATATTTTTGGATATTTGTTGATATTTTTAATTGATTAATTATATATATTTTAATGTATATTTTATATATTTTATGTATATTTTTTATTACAGTATAATATTTTATTCTTCTGCGGATATGTCTAGAATTAATCTTTATATGTTTATATTTTTATATTTGTTGATATTTTTTTATTATATTTTTTATTTTTCAGTTTGTATTTTGAGTTAATCTTTATTATATTTTTAATACATTCTTTTATTACTGTATTTGTATCTATTTTTTTTTCTTATGTCTAGAATGTGTTTTATTTAATTATTTGTTACTTTTTGTTTAATTATTCCTTTTTGTGATACTATTTGTTATGATTTAATTACAATTATTTTACATTTATTGAGTTTTGTATTCTTTTGAATATTTTTACATTTATTGAGTATTCTTTTGAATATTTTTCATTGGTGTTTCACTTTATTCTTTTGTATTTATTTACAGTTGAAATTTCTAGATTTAACCGTAAGTTCTATGCTGACAGTTTCTTCTCCTGCACTTCTCGCTTCTGTAATTCATTTCCGGTTTCTTGCTTTCCAGTCAACTTTGATCTTTCAAAAATTTAAATGTAATGTCAATCGTCATCGGCTGTCTAATACCTGTTCTTTTATTGTCTTCTCTCCTTAATAATGTTTTTCC